TAAAACACTTGGGGCTCTTTAGCTTGAAGAAAAACGACGGCTCAGGGGTGACAAGATTGAAGTTTATAAGAGTATGCATGGTATAGAGCAGGTAGAGAAAGTACTTTTCTCCCTTTCTCACAATACAAGAAACTTGTGGACACTCAATGAAATTGCTGAGCAGTCAGGTTAGAACGGATAAAAGGAACTACTTCTTCACCCAAAGAGTGATTAACACATGGAATTCACTGCCACGGGAGGTGATGGCAGCTACAAGCATGGACGGGAATTGGATAAATATATGGAGCAGAGATCCATCAGTGGCTATTAGCCACAAGGTATAGATAGGAACCCTCAGTCTGGGGCAAGTGATGCTCTGTATTCTTGGTGCTGAGGGGGCAACAGTGGGAGAGCTGGCCCCACTGCAGGACCTCCTGATGGCACCTGGTATTTTTGGCCACTGTGTGACAGTGTTGGACTGGATTGGCCATTGGCCTGATCCAGCATTGGCTTCTCTTATGTTCTTATGTTCTTGGGTTGTTGGCCTGTGTAGCATATTAGGGAAAGGCAAAAAGGAATATGCCTTCATGATGTTTGCCAAGTTGGCATCTCTTTCTGTTATTTTTGTCTGCAGGTATCAAAGCTGTGTGTGGACCTTACTAAGAGGCAAATGGGCAGGCTTACAACTGTAGGCCAAGGTCTGACAGGCTGAAGACTGTTAGTCTGGTGCCACAGAGGGTGGGTCAGCAGCTTTCCCTCAGCAATGAGTTATTCAATCCAAAGCAAGGCAGCTGTGGTGGGATGTTTATATGAATGGTCCTCTGACCAGAAGCCCAAGTGGTGTATCAGACTACTGACTGATACACAGCTCCCAGTTTAAACTGAGTGGAACCCAACTGTCTGTTTTGTTGATGATCTAGCCCAATCCAGAGGGAAAAGCTATCAAGAGACCGTTTTGTCTTGTTTCTGTAGCGTGTGATCTAGATGGACAGGTTGACACCCACATAATGTGGAATGCTCCCTATCAAGAGCTGTGTCCCCCAGCTTTCCTGCAATATTGTATTAATTTTATATTATCATTTACAGTTTCCCTGTAAATCTTTGGAATTATAGTTAAGTGCTGGGGCCACCTGGGTTAAGTGAAGGTACTGAGAATTTTGAAAGAGAATCCTCATTTATTCATAGAACTACAGTCCCAGAGGATTTCCTGAGGTTTAACCCTGTAATATACATCCTCCAATAAAATAAGAAGGAGTAAAGAATTCATGAAATCCTAATCAGAACACAGAATAGATTAATAAATCACTTAGACGAAGTATCACTCCATACCATTCTTCTTCGTCATGTGAATCCTCCAGTATTAGTTAAGGCTAAATATTTAGGTAACAGTCTTGCTCCCAGATGTTTATTCTTATTCCACTGAAGTCAAGATGTTTATGCAACCATAAGTGGCCATGGAAATATAGCCTAAGGGATTAACCACTAGGCAGACTGCTTTGAACATTTCAATAATTTTAAGTTGCTTGAAGCACAGTTGCCCAGTGTATTATAAAAGAAATCAAGGACTTCAGAGCATGCACAGTAGCAAGCTCACATGCATTCAGTAACAAAAAGCTG